CAGCCTTCCTGCTCCTCTGATGCTGCTTGGCCTGCTGTGTTCATCCAACTCTACACCTTGTTATCACAGTTAAGAGTCAACCAGGTTACAGTGGGACTGGAATTACATATAGGGCAGGCCAGACAAGGATGTCAGATTTTCTCCCCTAAAAGACGTTGCAAAACAGATGAGTTTTTAAAATAATTATGGTCACCATTTGTACTTGCTTTATTTTCTGGATTGTTTCAGTTAATTAACTGAATGCATGCATGTTTTCAATTGCTGCATTGGGATTTGAACTCGTGTCTCTATATCATTAGTATCTCTATATCTGTTTTGCAGGTTCAGCCACCTTTCTGTACTCCTGATGATGAGAATTACTGGGAGACAGATTGTGGAAACTATGCAGGAGCTCTGATGTATTTCTGTTCCTTTTATGTCATCATTGCCTATATCATGTTAAATCTACTCGTTGGTAAGTAGACCTACTTTCATCTTTCAAACCAGGATGAAAACGTTTGGTGAAAGACTAGCACCCAGAATGTTGCAAGAGAGGGACAAACCACTGTGATCTGCACTTGTCAGAAATTTCTCTCCTTCAAGTCTCCTGTGAGATTTTTTTGTGTCATTATTTTGCTGGAAATAGCAGTCAATAACAACATAAAGCAACACCTGGGACCTCAGCAAACATTGGGACTGCCATTTCTTTTTCTGTGATACCATGATGCCATGAAATATTCTTGGCACTGAAGAGCTAAAAATTCTGGACGTACTGTTACTGTAAAAGATGATTTAATTTTTCCCGTGTCATCCCTTTGTTAAATTAGGAAAATGGGAATTTAACATGCATCATAATGGGATCATTACTTCTTATTTCAATTTTTATTAATTCATGGGATGTGAGCACCCTTGCCAAGGCCCAAGCTCTGCCACAGTTGCCCATCCCAAATTGCCCTTGAGAAAATGATGGTGAACCACCTTCTTGAATTCCTATGGTCTATGTGGTACAGGACTACACAGCAGTTAGGGAAACAATTACGGGAATTTGACCCAACAATAGCGGAGGAATGATAATATAATTCTGAGTTAGGATGGTGCCTGGCTTGGAAGGTAACTTGCAGTTTCTGGTGTTTGCTGCCTGAGCCTCCAGGTGATAGAGGGCACAAGTTTGGAAGGTGCTGTCAAAGGAGCCTTGGTGGGTTGTAGCAGTGCATCTTGGTAAGTCTGTTCCTTTATGGGATACACTTCTTGTCTTCCAGGGTTATCCCTGACAAAAGATCATTTCCTGAAATACATCAGACAATGAATCTTTTTATCATTTCTTTCCACCAGCTATCATTGTAGAAAATTTCTCATTGTTTTATTCAACTGAAGAGGATCAACTGCTGAGCTACAATGACCTTCGACATTTCCAAATAATTTGGAACATGGTGGATGACAAAAGAGAGGTAGGTAACCACTGATGAAATTGTTTACAACTTGTGAAGCTATCCTGGGCTTTTTCTAGTTTTGAATGTGAAAATTATTTGATTTCCTCCTCTTGCTCCTTAACCAACTCAAGAGATTTTTATCTGATTCAAACTTCAGACAGGCATTAGGAATGATTGGTATGGCCCGGCTAGCATCTATTTCTGATGTTTTTCCATGTTATTGCAGAGTTTAGACAGAGCAGCTAACATTGATGATCAAGCGTTTAGGGACCGTTCACTCGAACAGCACATTTGCAAAAGGTGAATGGTAATGCTGTAGTTGAACATTGGAGTGTGGGTGCAGTGTCCAGCACATTTCCCTGCAAAAGTCCCAAGGCATTACGCTCCACTGTGTTCACTTCCCTCCATGGCCAGTCAAAACCCACCCTCCTCACTGACATTGCCTCCGTCCAACTCTCAAACACTTCAGAGTTCCTGAATGCCTCATCATGCCCCATCAATCAATCCCAGATTTAAAACAAACCCTCTGTTTACGGAAGACAGCTCCAAACTTCCACCACTCTTTGTGTGCTATGATGTTTCCTCAATTCACTACCAAAACATCTTACTCAATAGACCATACCTCTTAGTCCAACCAGCAGAAATAGTTTCTCTGTATCTAACTTATCCATTAATATCTTGAAAATGTCAATGCAATTATCCTTTAACCTTGTAAATGTCAGTGCATACCACCCTACTTTGTAATCTCTTGTCATAATTTCAGCTAAAGAGGAAATGCCTGTATTTCTGCTGTAGTTAGAGCCTGATTAAAGTTCACAGAATTTAATAACTGAATTCTGTTGATGCAGACTTTATGTTTCCTTGGATTTCCAATTGTGCTACAATTCGAAATGCAGATTAAGTCTCATGGGAAGGTATTTAACAGCCACTTTGCACCTACCTACCTGCCCCCAAACCACAAGCAAGAGCCAAGGGGGGAAGATCAATCGCAAGGCAACTTAATTGAGTGGTGATGATATAAACGATGATGATTGAAGTTTGGAAGCTTGTTCATACTGGAACACTCAAATTAAGTCACTGCCACTGATTCTAGTGCCAATGAGCACTGGTTTCAACAAAAAAGGATTAGAATTTCTGCTGGTACTGCTTCTTTATATTTTAATCTTGTTAACATACATCAGCCATCAAGTGTATTCGGTAAACTATTTGGGCTGATACAGATGAAGGTACTGGAGGTTCCAGAGCCACTTATAATGATACAATTAATTTTAATTGATCATCTCATTCATCTACACAGTAATAAAGTGCTTCCCTGTCAGGTAGGCTCAGTCAGTAGATTGTTCTGTCAGCAATGAATCAAGGTTCAACTATTGAGCATTTATAGTTTTATGTTCAGTTCTGGTCGCCACATTACAGGAAGGATGTGGAGGCTTTGGAGAGGGTGCAGAAGCAGTTTACCAGCATACCTGGATTAGAAGGTATGAGCGATTGGGAGAGGCTAGTAAAACTACGGTTTTCTCTGCAGCAGCAGAGGCTGAGGGGAGATTTGACAGAGTATATAAAATTATGAGATGCACAGATGGGGTTGACAGTCAGTATCTTTTTCCCAGAGTTGAAATGTCTAATACTAGGGGCATGCATTTAAGGTGAGAGGGGGAATGGTCAAAGGAGATTTGAGGGCCAGATACAATAGGGGCATTTATGAGGCTTTTAGATAAGTACATGATATGCAAGGAGTAAGGGGATATGGATCAAGGGCAGGCAGAAGAGATTAATTTAATTTGGCGTCATGTTTAGCACAACATCGTGGGCTGAACTGTTCTATGTTCTATGTTCTAAGTCTTGGTCCAGAAACATGAGCCCAACATCAAGGCTGCCAATCTTAGTGAGCACCAAGAGAGTGTTGCACTGTCAGAGGTGCCATCTGTTGGGTGACATGGCCTCACCTGTACTCTCAGGTAGATGGAACAGATTCCACGACAGCAGTTCAAAGAAGAGCAGAGGGGTGCTCATTGGTATCCTGCCTAATATTTATCCCTCGATCAACAGTGGTACAGAGACTGATCATCTGGTTCTTTTCACATTGCTGCTTGTGGGATCTTGCTGTGCACACACTGACTGCTGTGTTTCCTACCCTACAACTTCAAAAATACTTTATTGGCTATATATCAGAAAGTAAGGAGGCATGGGATTCAGGAAAATTTGGCTGTCTGGATACAAAATTGGCTGTCCAATAGAAGACAGAGGGTGGTAGTAGATGGAAAGTATTCAGCCTGGAGCTTGGTGACCAGTGGTGTTCCACAGGGATCTGTTCTGGGACCTCTGCTCTTCGTGATCTTTATAAATGATCTGGATGAGGAAGTGGAAGGGTGGGTTAGTAAGTTTGCCGATGACACAATGGTTGGTGGAGTTGTGGATAGTGTGCAGGGCTGTTGTAGGTTGCAACGGGACATTGACAGGATGCAGAGTTGGGCAAAGAAGTGGCAGATGGAATTCAACCCAGAAAAGTGTGAAGTGATTCATTTTGGAAGGTCAAATTTTGAATGCAGAATACAGGGTTAATGGCAGGATTCTTGGCAGTGTGGAGGAACAGAGGGATTTTGGGGTCCACGTCCATAGATCCCTCAAAGTTGCTACCGAGGTTGATAGGGTTGTAAAGAAGGCCTATGGTGTGTTGGCTTTCATTGGCAGGGGAATTCGGTTTAAGAGCCGCGAGGTTATGCTGCAGCTGTATAAAACCGTGGTTAGACCACACTTGGAATATTGTGTTCAGTTCTGCTCGCCTCATTGTGGAAAGGATGTGGAAGCTTTAGAGAGGGTGTAGAGGAGATTTACCAGGATGCTGCCTGGACTGGAGGGCAGGTCTTATGATGAAAGGTTGAGGGAGCTAGGGTTTTTTTCATTGGAGCGAAGAAGGGTGAGAGATGACTTGATAGAGATGTACAAGATGATGAGGCATAGATAGAGTGGATAGTCAGAGACTTTTCCTAGGGCAGAAATGACTATTACAAGGGGGCATAATTTTAAGGCGATTGGAGGAAGGTATAGGGGAGATGTCAGAGGTAGGTTGCTTACACAGAGAGTGGTGGGTGTGTGGAATGCGCTGCCGGCAGTGGTAGTGGAGTCAGATACTTTAGAAACTTTTAAGTGACTCTTGGAAAGGCACATAGAGGATAGTAAAATGTAGGGTATGCAGGGTAGATTGATCTTAGTAGGATAATAGGTCAGCACAACATCGTGGGCCGAAGGGCCTGTACTGTACTGTACTGTTCTGTGTTCTATGTTCTATATCACAATGAGGTGCCCCGAGGTCATGAAGAAAATCAAGAAGTTTCATTCTTAAGGTTTTTAAACTTATGACACAAACTGTTACAATTTCTATTACAAGGAGCTTTCCATTTGCTGGACGAGGAACAAGAGGAGGCCACTCTGCCCCTCGAGCCAATTCACCCACACAGTTGGGACTAATTGAGTCTTGACTCCCTCCAACTTGCTTTGATTCCATGAGTTACAACGTCTTCAATGCAACAAAAATCGAGCAATTGCATATTTTAAAGATGCTGTACAAATGCAACTGCTGTTGTTAGCTGCACAGACTGTTCTTTCCCTTTCCTCCATTGGTCAATGCTTCCAAAAGCAGCCAAGGTAACTTTTATCAAACGTTCTGTTTTATACCAGGGAGCAATCCCAACCTCCCGTGTGAAGTTCTTACTGCGTCTGCTGCGTGGGAGACTGGAGGTTGACTTGGAGAAAGACAAGCTGCTTTTCAAGCACATGTGTTACGAGATGGAGAGGCTGCACAATGGAGGAGATGTCACATTTCATGACGTACTGAGGTAACAGAGCAGTTCAGCTCTCTTCCTAAGTCACAGCTGTATTATACAATGAGAATGTGCAACTCACTACCACTGGCAGCAATGGAGATGAATAACACAGTAAAATCATTGCTATTATTAAATTGTTTTCCAACATTTTTCTTATCCTGCCACCAATTGTAAATCTAGGACAGAAAAAGAAACAGCAAACAGTAATTTACATTCTTTTAAATTTGATTCCAACGATGTGGACGTCCAACTTTCCTGATGAGTATAGAACCAATGAAGAGACTGGAGAAGTTGGGTTTGATCTCCTTGGGTCAAAGATTAAGGGGACATTTTATGGAGAAGTTCAAAATGGGGAATAGTATCAAGAAAGAAGATAAGGAGAATCTGTTACCTCTGGCAGAGGACAATAGTAGGACAACACAGATTTCTGTTTGAAGTCATTGGCAGTAGAGGAGAGATGAGGAGACCATTTTTACGCAGCAAGTTGTGATCTGGAATGTGCTGCCTGAAAAGCTGATAGAAGTGGATTCAATAGCAATTTGTGAAAGAGAATTGGACTTGCTGGTTAATTTAATCAGAGAGCCAGTGCAGATGTTATGGACCAAATTGCCTCCTTCTGTGCTGTATGATTGTTGGACCAAATTTCTGCAGATGCTGGAATCTGAACTGAAAAATTGCTGGAAATCATAGCGGGTCAGGCAACTTCCATGAAGAGAGAGCAAGCTAACATTTCACCTCTTCATCACAGCTGGCATGAAGTGTGGAGGGGGCAGCATTTAAGCAGTGTTGGGGAGTGGAGTCCTGGGGGAGAAAAGATTTTGATAGTACAGATTAAATGAGCAGAATGTGAGAATGGCAGGACAATGGTGTGTCTAATTGCTAGACTGGGAAGAGTGGACAGTCCCACTGGGGTGGGGGAAGAGGAGAGAGGACATAGTGATAGAGAATGTAACAAGTAAAGCTAAAAGAAAGGGAAGAAGTGGGAGTGAGTTCACAATCTGAAGGTGTTGCACTCAATATTAAGTCTAGAAAGTTGTAAAGTGCCTAGTTTGAAGATGAGATGACGTTCCTCCAGTTTACACTGTGATTCACTGGAGCATTGCATCATGCCGAGGACGAACATGGACATGAGAGCAGGACGCTGTGTTAAAATGACCAGCTACAGGAAGGTGGGGGTCATGCTTGCGCACAGAACAGAGGTGATCTGCAAAGTGGTCACAAAGTCTGTGTTTTGTTTCTCCAATGTAGAGTAGGCTACATTGGGTGCAGTGAATGCAATAGACCAAATTGGAGGAGGTACAGGTGAAATGCTGCTTCACCTGGAAATACATGGATGGTGAGCAGGGAGGAGGTGAAGGGGCAGGTGTTGCACCTTCTGCGGGCTACATGGGAAGGTGCCGTAGGATTGTTATTTGCGATGAATCCAAGATACTGGAGTTCATACTATGAATGCTTGTCTTGTTGAATTTCATTATGTCAAACGTAGAGACCCTAAATGGTAACATATTTTAATAACATTGTGCTTTTATCTTCCTTTTATATGACATAGAAACAGGAGGAGACCATCCCACCTCTCCAAGCCTATTTAATTCAAGTATGGCTTTTATGTACCTTAGGCCCATCAAGCCAGCTTGGTTTTGAAACCCTAAATCCCCTCACCCAGCAAGAACCTATCAAGCTCAGTTTTGAAAATTTCAACTAATACGCCAGCCTGAACCCTCACCTGTTATTTTTTTCACTTAGAGGGGTAGTGAGTGGGGGAAGATTTCCAAACTTCCACTTGCCTTTGTGAAAAGTGCTTCCTAATATCACCACTGAACTGCCTGGATCAAATTTTAGGATTCTGTCCCCTCATCCTAGACTCACCACCAAAAGAAATACATTCTAACTACCTTATCAGATTTTTTGATCCATCATAGTTAAGTCACCCTGCTAATCACTTATACTCATGGGAATGTAAACCTATTTTATGTAATTTATCTTCATAATTTAACCATTGTTAACTGTTCCGTTATTTCAACCAAAAGAATTGCGGAAGCTGGAAATCAGAAACAAAAACAGAAATTGCCGGAAAAACTCAGCAGCTCTGGCAGCATCTATGGAAAGAAATCAGAGTAAACATTTTGGGTCCAGTGACCCTTCTAAAGAATAGTTCTTTAGAAGTGTCACTGGATCTGAAACGTTAACTCTGATTTCTCTCCACAGATGCTACCTGACCTGCTGAGATTTTCCAGCAATTTCTGTTTTTATTATTTCAACCAACTCAAAGTTCTAACAGGCATATTGCTATAATATTTAATTCACTCATTTACATATATGTATGACATTAAACTAAGAATCTTAATTCTGTTGCTAGCATGCTGTCATACAGATCAGTGGACATCAGGAAAAGCCTTCAGCTTGAAGAACTGTTAGCAAGAGAGCAGCTTGAATACACTATAGAAGAAGAGGTAGCAAAACAAACAATACGAATGTGGCTGAAGAAATGTTTGAAACGCATTAGAGCAGTAAGTAATTTCTGAGAATATGCTCTACATTGTTAGTCAGCAGAAAAAAATGGATGTACAAGAGCCAATGATATTTGTTTTATGAGACAACACAGTGTTGAGCTGGAGGAACACAGCAGGCCAGGCAGCATCAGAGGAACAGGAAAGTTGACGTTTCAGGTCAGGGCACTTCTTCAGAAAATGAAGAGAATTCATTTTTCAGAAAATGAAGGAGAGTCACGATGCGAAACATCAACTTTCTTACTCCTCTGATGCTGCCTGGCCTGCTGTGTTCCTCCAGCTCCACACTGTGTTACCTCTGACTCCAGCATGTGCAGTTCTTGCTATCTCTGACATTTGTTTTATGTTAATCACACTTAGAGTGTCGTTCATATTTCTGATCTCCATCACTGTAGAAAGGATAGAGAAGAACTGGTAAAGGTGCAATAGTAAGTTCACAAGGTTAGTATCAGAACTGACAGTTTGTAATTATTAGGAAGGATTGAACAAGCCAAGTCTCTTTTCCAGACGAAAGAGAGGAGCTGAAGGGAGACTTGATAGTGGTCCTTCAAGATTGTGATGGGATTTGATAAGGAAGATGCAGGGAAGATGGAGGAGACCAAAGCAAGGGCCCATAGATCTAAGTATGTTATGAAAAAAATTCAACAGGAAATAAAGAAAAGCATCTTCACCTAGAGAGTGGCGAGAAAGTGGGACTCGTTACCACAGGGAATTGTTGAGATGAATAGAATAGACCATTTTAAAAGGATCCTAGATATCACATACAAGAAAATGGAATAGAAAGCAATTCTGAATTATCCTGACCTTCCCTTTTAATGTGATAACTGCAGTTTCTGTAAGATTTCCAACCAGCTAAATCGCTTAATCTGTGCAGAATCAAATCAAATCACTCAAAGGATTGCAGCAGTTTAAGCATAAGTGCCCTGCATTACACCCTAGTGTTCATGTGATCTTTAAACAGGCCCATCATCTGAACTAGGCCATGCCTGCAGTGCTGGCTAAACACACACACAGCTCCAAAGATGGCTTTTGCCAATTCCTCTAATTCATTCACCTATGTGATCACATGACTCCAATTTTAATCACATGACCAGCACTGACTTGCTACTGCAATTCCTGCCACTCCACTGCGAAAATGATTACTTTAAGGGGATGAAGGTGCTCATGTCCAGATAGATGATCCTGCTGCTCTCTGCAATGGCCCACATTAACTCTGCACCCGTCACAAATCCATTCATGGTAACCATACTCACTATTGCATGACTCACAAGAGATTTCAACTTCATACCTATGGTAATGGGTTTGCGCAAACATTTGGACAAACAGGTGATGTCAGACATGTTTTACACACAGTTTGCCAATCGCCCCTTGGCAGAGACTCCTCTCACCAAGGGGTCATGAAAATCAAATATCACATCCGCAGTCTAATGGACTTACTGGCTGCAAATATGTCCAGGGGTCTGATATTTTACATTCCTGACTAAATGTGTCCTGTGTCTTCAGAAACAGCAACAGTCCTGTAGCATCATCCACAGTCTGCGAGAGAGCCAACAGCAGGAGTTAAGCAGGTTCCTTATTCCCCCCAGCATTGAGACAACTCAAGCCAGTGAAGAAATGCTTGCCAGTAATCAAGATAATGAAGCTCCTCCTGAGGTGAGTCATTCCTTTCGATCTTTCAGCTTCACAATGCCCTGTGATACATTTCCTAATCCTCTTGCAGAGTGCACAACAGTTTGTACTTACGTAAAATGGTAAACAATCCAAAATGCTTTGTCGGAGCAATTTGGCAAACAAAGTTTAAGACCAAGATATTAGGACAGCATGGTCAGACTTTTTCTTTTCTCTGTCAAAACATCTGAAAGAGGAGGTGGAAAATTTTAGGAAGGGGGTTTCCAGAGCTTACAGCAGCATGTAGCTGAAGCCACAGCCACAAATGGTGGAGCGATTACAATCAGGATGTGCATGAGTCCTGAATTAGAACAGGACAGAGATCTCAGGGACTTGACGGGCTCGGGGAGGTAATAGAAATAGGGGGATGTAAGACAATGGTGGGATCTGAAGTCAAAATAAAATGTTTTTCGCAGTCTCAGCTCTGCAGCACTGTAAAAGATTCTGAATGTGGACTGGCACTTGGGGTAGGCCTCCCAGACCATGTAAATACACAAAGGCCACATAGCCTCACGGGTGCCTATCAAGAAAACGGACAGGCCTTTTTGAATCTGTTAATCTAGTCGGTCACCTCTCTCAGACCTGGAACCAACACAGCTGAAGGGGCCATGTCATCAACTGAGAAAAATGGGTGTCTCAACATCCTATTGTCCATCAATGCCTCCCTCAAAAACTTTGTGCTCACTTTTCCAATGTGTCCTTGATTCAGCTTCCTCACCACCATGTAAAATGACCCCTTCCAAAGCTTAATCTGCGAACATATGGAATGAACCTTAGTGTTCCACAACCAAAAGCACTTCCTTAAATGTGCTTTTGGATGTAGGTGACAGGCAAGTTAGTATTTATTTCCCAACCTTAGTTATTACAATTTGTTACGGTACACGAGGCCATCCAGCCCATCGTGTCTGTGCCAGTTCTATTACCTAATGCCAGTCTCTTGCCGTTTCCCATATCGTTGCACACCATTTATATCCAAACAATTATCCAATTCCCCTTTTAAATGGGGAATTGAAGATGCTTCCACCACATTTCCAGGTGTGAATGTGTAAAAAGTTTTTTTCTCATATCGCAGTTGCTTCGTTTGTAGATCACTTTAAATCTGTGGCCTCCCATTCCTTTTGTCTTCACCAAGTCTCAGCAGTTTCTCCCTGTCTGCTCTGTCTAGCCCAGATAAGGAGAGCATTGAGTGTTTAGTGGGGTAGCATTTTCTCTTTGGATGCAAATTATGAAATTTAGACAAAAATTTGGTTGTAATATGCTGGGTAGGTGAGGTATCCGCTTTCTTTCAAAGTTACTTTGCATAATAAGCCTAAAATTTTCAGTCAGATTATTACATATTTATTGCCATTCAAAAAATATTGTTTGATGAGTTATCAGTGCAACATAATTAATATAAAAGCAAAGTAATGGTGATTCTGAAAATAGCAAAAAGAAGCAGAAAATGCTGGGAATAGTGATCAGGTCAGGGAGCAACACAGAGAGAGACACAGTTAATGTTTCAGGAAGATGTACCTTCATCAGAAATGTAATCAAGTTAGAGATGTAACAGGTTTTCAGCAAGTCCAGAGAGTTAGAAAGATGGGAACTCTACGGAGGCAAGAAATTAAGTGCCAAAAGGGATAATGGAATCTGTTATTGTCATTTTCAGCTCCTGTGAACCCGTCATCAGTTTGTTTTAGTGTTCTGATTTTGTCTTGCACAATCACCCTCTTTTGAATTTGAATCCTGATCCAGTGTAAAACCTCATGTTCATTTTTACATCGTAAAAACTACTGTGAGGAATGTGGATTGTGCTGTGTAAAAATGGACATGAGGTTTTACACTGGTCTGGTCTCAGCAAAAGTAGACAAAGCTGTACGACAAAGTGTGGTCCTGATCAGATTAGAGCAGCATGATCTGTTGCCGAAAGAAGTTTACTGTAAAATTGAGTAGTTTTCTATGTGCCAGATTCCTTATGTTAAATGCTGCACAGTAGGATGTGAACTCCCAATGCCCTGGTTAATAGTTTAGCGCTGTAATAACTAGACTAAGTGTTCCCGGCTGTATAATTAAATAGAAAATGTGATTTATGGCAGCATGCACACAGCCATTAGTGCAAAAAGAGCATCTGCCTGCTGATTATTCTTCCTGCAGATTATGATAGAGTGATTGCTAACTCAACAATAATGAGCTTGTCAACCATCATCATTCTTGTCTCCTGTGCAGTCCAGTAGTCAACAGCAGCTACTCAGTCCAACACACTCAGACAGAGGTGGTTATCGATCCGACTCTGCTGATATCGGAAAACCGCAAAGAAAATTTGGTCAGTGGCGTCTTCCATCAGGTATTTTGAGAATCGTGTCTTGTATGTTGTCATAACGACAGCTTGGAAGCAAGTCACAGAACTAACGTAGGCGATTGTTTAACAGGAACAGAGGACGTCCTCATACAAGGACAGCCGAGAATTAGTTGCTGCAGCAACAGTAGCAAGATACAACTCTGTCATTTCTAGTAGGATGAATTTTTCTCCTCCTCTTTGTCCTTCGAAGCAGCAATGAACACATTCATCAGCTCGGTAGGGTTCCAGTGGATACATAGCTGACTGCTAAGGTCAATCTACTCCCAGAAGGCTCTGCTGCAAATAGGACAGGGAACTGCAGGCAATTTGAGTTTTGTGTGAATTGCTGCCTTGGGATTTCCTCTGTTTGTGTAAATGCAAAGACAACTGAGACTGGTTGTTGCATTCAGCAAAGGATGACAGTTGGAAACAATGGCAAGTCCTGTGAACATCGGCAGAAAGAGAAGGGTCACTGGTCCATCATGCCTGTCCTCACCTCACAATGACCAGAGCATTGTCACTAATACTGCTTACCTCTCAGCACCACCGTCTGATTCCCCTACCACCCCAAACCTCATCGCCACAAAAGGAAACCATATCTTGGGAAATTCCTGACTGAATTTACCTTGCCCAATCCCATTCTATCCCCTCAACATCAGCTAATTGAAACAAGTCCGAAAGAGTGTTATCTATTACCAACTTGGGTGGCACAGTGGCTCATTGGTTAGCACTGCTGCCTCACAGCACCAGAGACCTAGGTTCGATTCAGTCTTGAGCAACAGTCTGTGTGGAGTTTGCACATTCTCCCTGTGTCTGCATGGATTTCCTCCTGGTCCTCCAGTTTCCTCCCACAGTCCAAAGATGTGCAGGCTAAATGGATTAGCCATGAGAAATGCAGGATTAAAGGGAGGGGTAGTGGGGTGGGTCTGGGTGGGATGCTCTTCAGAGGGGCACTTTGGACTCGATGGGCCAAATGGCCTGTTTCCACAGTGTAGGGATCCTATGAACATATGCATTTTCTTTCCCAATCAAGTATGCATCCAGCTCCCTTTTAATGTGATTCAGGGGACTGGTCTTTGAGCCCAGGTAGGGTTGAGCACAGAGGGAGGTAGATGTGTCAGTTTGTGCTGCTGGTTGGCGTGCAAATGTTCTGGCACCACCCTATGCCCGGGTCATTTTCCCTCAGGCAGGATGTAGTGACAGGGTGAGGGTGAAGGGCAGCAGGACACCCTACCTGGAAGTATCAGGGAGGCAGCTAGCCAATGGACAGAGGTCACTGTCAGAGCAGATTTATACACAGTTTGCAATCTTACAGAGCTCTGCCCCCTGATTTACCCCAGCCCAGTGCCCCAGAGGCCCCTTGTTATATGTCTCAAAGACAATCAATTGATCAATGCCATGACCTGTTTACCCTCACCCTTAAAGATATGATTGACATGACATTAATGGTGGAAACAGTTTCTCCTTATATACTTTATCAAAACTCTACATAGAACCATAGAAACTTACACAGCAGGAGGCCATTTCACCCGCTATGTCTGTGCCAGCCAAGAAAGAGTTGTTCACCCTAATCTCACTTTCCAGTTTTTGGGGTCCTTAGCCTGTAGATTACGGCATTTCTGTTGTATACCCAACTGTCTTTTAAAATGTGATAAGGTTTTCTGCCTGAACCACCTTTTCATGAAGGCAGTGACTTCCAGATTCGCAACAACCCCCTGGGTGAAAATTCTCCTGCCAGTTACTTTAAATCTGTGCTCCCTTTTTATTGAAATCTTGTAAGGAAGATAATGTAAAGAACACTTCTGTTAAACTTCACCTTAATGTTCTCTACTGTAAGGGAGTAACCCAGTTAGTCTCGTCTGTCCACATTATTGAAGTCCCTCAGACACAGAGCTAATCCATTAAATCCTGTCACCTATTCCCAGGCTTTGATATCCTTCCTAATGTAGAAGACGTGAAAGGGCAAGGCGACATGAATGGGATAGAAGGAATTTTATGTAATGCACAAACAGCAGCATGGACTAGCTGGGCCAAATGGCTTCTTCTTGTTTGGTAAATTCGAAGTAATTTGCATTAAATTTGCCTCCATCTGGTAAAGTCTTCTGCACTAGTTCATCTATTAAACATGGTTTCACTTGATCTTAATTGAAAATAAAATTAATTACCTAGCCTTTTCATTGGCCTTCCAGCTCCTAAACCCATCAGCCATTCCGTGTCGACAGTGAATCTACGACTCGGGGGTCGTACAGCCATTAAATCGGTTATGTGTAAAATTAACCCAATGTCGGATGCTGCCTGTTCGGGTTCAGATGTTAAGAAATGGTGGACCCGACAACTCACCGTGGAAAGTGACGAGAGTGCAGACGACCTCTTAGACATTTAACGTCAAATGGAATTCTCTCCAAAGGTGGTAGGTGATGATTGGCTGCTTTACAAGTTAATAATCCTCTTACATTTCTATTATTTAAGCTACAATAGGTGTTCAGCATTTTGACCAGGGAATTGGCTCATGCTAAGTGACATGTGACCAGAAATTTATCAAATGCAGAAAGTGAAGAGGCTGGGAGTAACCTGATAGAGGTCTTTAAATGGTAAAAGGGTTCTACAGAATACACCTACACTACAACAGTGAGGAATCCTCAGAAATATCTCATTGGTTGTAAACTGCTTTGGGATGCTCTGGAATCTACATTGGTGACAGCAAATGCAGACTGGCTATCCGCTTTGCAGAACACCTCTGCTGTCAATGTAGGAATGAGCCCCATCTTCCAGCTGTTTGCCATTTCAATAAACCCCCTTGCTCCCACCCTAACATTTCTATCCTGAGCCAGCTACAGTGTTCCAAAGAAGCCCAATGCAAGCTGGAGAAACAACACCTCACTTTCTGCTTAGGTTCACTACATCCTCTTGAATTCAGGATTGTATTCTACAGCTTTAGGGTTTGACCCCTGTACTCCATTAATCCTTCATGCTCCACTGCTCCAGCCCTTTCTCCCCCTGTCCAGGGACAACTTGTTGACTTTGCTCTCAACAAAGTGCACCCATTTTCTCCTTTTCATATTCTTTGCTCATGTTCTATCTGCATTTCTCCTTTACCACTGTTAGCATCCTCACCATCCATTCCACTCGTCTCTCCTCCCCCTCTGTCAACAGCGTAAAAGCCATCATTTCCCAGACCCTTTCAGATCTGGACTCGAAACATTAATACTGTACTTCTCCTCAGACCTGAGCTCCTCCAGCACTTTCAGTTTTTATTTCAGATTTCCAGCATCCACAGTATTTTGTTTTTATAAGTTTGTCCTGGTTCTCAGTCAACTCAAAGGACTTGGCCTCTGGCCAGGGGAGTCTGTACGTCAGTACGTCAAGGGCAACCTCGGATATGGTCAGTCAGCTGCTAGGGCCAGTCAGAGTCAGGACCCTCTCCTGGTAAGAACCAAATTAAAGAACCGAGTGTTGGGCATCTCACCACCTGTCTTGATCCATTCTACTCAACAGTGAACTGTTTTCCTCTTAGAATGAGAGAGAGGTAGGTACTAAGGATGGCACAGCTGGTACTTTTGGGGAGATGTCCTGAGCAAGTGATAGACAGTGCAGAGTGCATGGAAGGTGGGTGAGGGCAGGTAGGGAAGGTATTTCAGGCAATAAAAAGAGTCGTAGAGCATGAGCCATGGTGGGAGGTGGGTATAGTAACAGAGACAGAGTGAGTTCTGAGGTATCGGACAGAAGATGGTGACACTTAAGCTGACGAATGGAGAAGGGCCTTCATCATTTTCCTACATTGCTGGGCATAACTGCTCACAACAGAGTCTGTACTGATCTGGGTGGCAGCCTTAGACCAGGTTGGCAATGCTCTGGTATCATTACCTCCTCTGCTGATCAATCTAGTGGCCTCCTCCTGTTACCATAATTCTGCAAATGATTCCAGTAATCTAACTTCGGTGCCCCTTCAGCCATGCCCCTCATCGTTTCATATATCTAAATCATGTCCCCTCACACACATTCTCTGCTCCAAGGAAAACAACCCCAATCTGTCCAATCTCTTCTTCATAATTGAAACTCTCCAGTCCAGTCATAAATTCTACACCTTGGCTAGAAGATTCTCAAAAGGCTTGATAAGGCTCCACTGAAAGGAAGCTTCCACTGTTTGGGGAATCTAATGCAAAGGGACAACAGAGTCTCAGGATAAGGATACAATCCGTTAGAACTGAAATGTTGAGAAAATACTTCACTTACAGGGTTGTGAATCTTTATCAATCTGTACTCCAGAGAATAATGGCTGCTTCATCATTGAATATATTTCATGCTGGGAATAATTGTCTCTGAATAGAATAGAATAGCATAGAATAGAATGGAATAGAAATTTATTGCCCCATGTATTTTTACATGAAAAATATAGTAGCCCCACCAAAATGCCCAAGATGCATGTGAATGTATTGAATGGTGGAGCAGGCTCAAGGGGCTGTAAAGTGCACACCTGCTCTTCCTTTTTGCCTGTTTATTGCAGTGCCCTGTTGCTCAGGCACAGGTGGCACATACTGACAATTCAGTTGGGAAATTAACCAAATTGGGAAACTGTGCAATGAAGAAATTTTCATGCCTTACTTTGTTGGGTTCCTTAATGTCCCAATGATTAGTGCTTTGCTGAACTTTGCCTCTAAAAGGCTACACTGAAATTTCCTGATTCTGTGCCTACCAGCGCTGATTTTGCACCATCACTCACAATATGACCTTTCCCAAGAACACTACTACTTTTAAAGATTGAAACATTGGTGGAAATCATGCCAAAGAAATTCTCGGCATGGAGGTGAGCATTATATTCAGTGGTAAATGAAAACTGAAAGAACTGCGGATGCTGCAAATCAGGAGCAAAAACAAAGTTGCTGGAAAAGCTCAGCAGGCCTGGCAGCATCTGTGAAGGAAAAAACAGAGTTAACGTTTCGGGTCCGGTGACCCTTCCTCAGAACCCTTCTGAGGAAGGGTC